TAAACCATTGATGAGGTGCAACAAATTTGGGAAGAAAGTTCTGGATAAACTCAATCTCTAGAGCCAAAAGTAAAAAGGACAGAAGAATGTATGTGCTATATCATAAGTGTTTTGTTGTGTCAATGTTGATTACTGTGGGTGAGGATTTTGTTTTGTGAAACAAATGTTTTTGTTACATAGCCAGACAATATTGTCCTTACCAGTATGTTTTGTCTTGTCTTGAGACATTTATGTTTTTGTGTTTGTTCTTTTGCTATTCCATATATTTGTAAAAGAGTCAAGACTATATCTAATTCTTGTTGCATCTGATTGTTGTCTTTCTCTTCTACTTTCTTTTCCCAATCATTGCATAACTCGTTTATGGTTTGTTATCTTTCGTTTGAATACGTGCGTACTTGTATATTTTGTATGCGTTTGCTGTGTTTAAACTGTTTCAAATTAATATATTTTAGTAAACATGTTTTCGATAACAAACCTAATTATAAAAGTAGGGTTTCTAAAAAAAAAGAGAAGAATGTAAATAATCCACGCCCATAAAAGAATAATATTTAAAATCCTTACGTCACTATAAACATTCCATAATTACACGCCAAATAATGATATCCATATTTTCAAAACTGACCTATATATTTGGTCAATTCCTTCCTTGTCAACTCTTTATAAATTAGCACACTTTCTTTTTATTGAAACTTTAATAATTTCGAGGGCAACCAATTCTCCAAAGTGTTCTAATTAAGTAAGAAAAACTATTTATAGAACTTCTTAGTCATCTATTACTCATCTATACTATTATTTGAAAAAATAAATTTGTTGGAATTGTCATATTCTCTATAGTTTTAAGTAATTTTGCTTATTACAGTATATAACTAAAAACAAATTTAATAATATTTTCTACTATAAAAGATTAAGATATAAACAATTTATAATTAGATATTAATATGAATTTAAGATTAATAATATCAGATTATATCTTATTTTAGCTAATGGATTATAAATTAATAAGATAAAAATTTCAAACTAAAAACTTATTTAAAAATAAGATAATTCTTATATATATATATATATATATACATATATTTGTTGTTATCTAAAATACTATTTTTATTATAATATAGAAAATTTTATAACTAAATATTAATCAATCAAAAATATTTGTATAGAGATAATATCTACAATATTTTTAATATGTGAGTGCTTTAAAAGTTTATCACGAGAATAAACATCTATATTTTAAATAAAACATATTATCAAAATAAGATAATTCCTAGATATATTGTATTGTTATCTGTAAATAATAATTTGAGGATATTTTTTTTTAAAATAAAGATATAATCAATTAACTTAAATAAGAAAAATAAAAGTTACATTAGTTAATGTCGTTGTTAAACTTATAGAATTTTTTATATAATATATTATATAGTTTAATTTTTTTTATATTAATATTATAAGATTAGATGTTAGATTAGATAATTGATTATAAATTAATATGATTGATTGGAAAAATAAAAAAACATATTTTAAAGGATAATTCTTATATGTTAATAGTATAGATATAAACAAATCAGCAAATTTACTTCTCAAATAATAGTATATAATATAATTAACTGTTTAATTAATACTTTAATAATATTTTTACTATAAAATATTAAGATATAAACAATTTATAATAAGATATTAATATGAATTTAATATCAATAATATTAGATAATATATTATTTTAGCTAATAGATTAGATAATTGATTATAAATTAATATGATTAAGTGGAAAAATAAAAACATATTTTAAAAGATAATTCTTATATGTTAATAGTATAGATATAAACAAAGCAGCAAATCTACTTCTCAAATAATAGTATAGAATATAATTCATTTTTTATTAATAATTTAATAATATTTTCTATTATAAAATATTAAGATAAAAATAATTTAGAATAAGATATTAATATGAATATAATATTAATAATATTACATTATATCTTATTTTAACTAATGGATTATTAATTAATAAGATAAAATTTTCAAACTAAAAACTTATTTAAAAACAAGATAACTCTCATATATAGATTCGTTGTTATCTAAAATAGTATTTTTATTAGAATATAGAAAAAATTATAATTAAATATTAATCAATCAAAATATTTGTATAGAGATCTTATCTACAATATTTTTAATATGTGAGTGCTTTAAAAGTTTATCACAAGAATAAACATCAATATTTTAATGAACAATTTCATAATATATAAATCTATAATATTATTTGCGAAATTTTTTTTTGCGTTCAAACTCTCATGACAGAATTTAGAATATTGTTATTACACTTAATGAATGAATTCCATATATAATTTTATATAATTAAAACAAAATTTACAAAAACAAATCTGTTAATAATATTAAAATTTATATATTGGCTTATATGATTGATTATATATTCACATGATAATTTTTTTTAAATAATTTGTTTTTCTTTAAATATGAAAATTCCTAGATATATTGTATTGTTATCTGTAAATAATATTTTTGAGTATAAAAAATTAAAAAAATGAAGATATAATCAATTAAATTAAATAAGCAAATTAAAAGTTACATTAGTTAATATCGTTGTTAAACTTAGAGAATTTTATATATAATTTATTATATATTTAAAAACATATTGATAACATAAGATTTATATGTTAGATTAAATAATTGATTATAAATTAATATGCTTCATTGGCAAAATAAAAACATATTTTAAAAGCTAATTCTTATATGTTAATAGTATGGATATAAACAAATCAGCAAATTTAATTCTAAAATAATAGTATAGAATATAATTAATTTTTTATTAATAATATTAAATTTAGATGTTAGATTAGATACTGATTATAAATTAATAGGATAAATTGGCAGAATAAAAATATATTTTAAAATAAGATAATTCTTATATATATATATATATATATTTTGTTGTTATTAGTAAATATTGTTTTTGTTATAAAAATTATAAATAAAGATATAAATAATTTTAAAATAAATATTAATTAAAAAATTATTTTGAAATGTATTTTATAAAATATTTCTGATATGTGTATGTTTTATAATTTCAAGGCAATAATAAACATATATATTTAAAAACTTTATCATATAAGAATAAAAGTAAATTTGTTGGTTTGTCATATTCTCCATAGTTTTAGGTAATTTTGCTTATTATATAACTAAAACGAATTTAATAATATTTTATATTATAAAAGATTAATATATTAATAATTTATAATTAAATATTAATAAAAATTTAATATTAATAATATTGCATTATATCTTATTATAGCTAATGGATTATAAATTAATAAGGTAAAATTTTCAAACTAAAATTTATTTAAAAAATATAATTTATATATATATATATATATATATTCCTTGTATCTAAAATAGTATTTTTATTATTATTATAAAAATTTATAATTAACTATTAATCAATCAAAAATATTTGTATAGAGATATTATCTACAGTATTTTTAATATATGAGTGCTTTAAAAGTTTATCACGAGAATAAGTATCTATATGTTAGTGAATAACTTTATCATATATAAATCTATACTATTATTTGCGAAATAATATTTTGCGTTTAAACTCCCATGTTATAAATTAGAGTATTGTTATTACATTTAATGAATGAATTTCATATATAGTTTTTATATAATTAAAAAGAATTTTCTATTAACAATATTAAAAATTATATATTGTATCAGATGATTGATTACAAATTCATGTGATAAAACTTTTAAATAAAAACATATTTGTAAAAATTAGATAATTCCTAGATATATTTTATTTTTATCTATAAATAATATTTTCGAGTATAAAAATTCAAAAATAGAGATATAATCAGTTAAATTAAATAAGCAAATTAAAAGTTACATTAGTTGATGTCGCTGTTAAACTTATATAATTTTATATATAATATCTTTGATATTTTAAAAAATTATATTAATAATATAAGATTTTTATGTTAGATTAGATGATTGATTATAAATTAATATGATTGATTGGCAAAATAGAAACATATTTTAAAAGATAATTCTTACATGTTAACAATATAAATATAAATAAATCAGAAAAATTACTTCTCAAATAATAGTATAAATATAAATTAAAAAATGTTATTAGTAATATTAGATTCATATGTTATATTAGATAATTGATTATAAATTAGTATGATAAATTGTCACAATTAAAATATATTTTATATTAGATCATTCTTATATATATATATATTGTGTTGTTATTTTATGTTTATTAATTCCAAAACCAAAAGCATATGCCATAAGTGATTATTTATGTTCTTAAAAACATTAAGTTATTCTTATATGATAAAGTTTTTAAAATATATATGTTTATTATTGTGTTTAAATTATAAAACACACGCGTATCAGAAATATTTTAAAAATATTTTTCTAAATAATTTTCTTAATTAATCTTTAATTAATTTTTTATCTTTATTTATAATCTTAATTAATATTTAATTGAATTTTTTTATAATTAATTTTTATTCATAAGTTTATGTCCACATGTGCGAGCATAACATCTAGTTAATAACATAACAAAAATGAACGCACGATCCAATAAATACGTATCTATAACCTAGGAAACCGGAATGCTTAAGTTAAGGAAATCGGTTTGGTTTATAAGTAAAACCGATATTTTTAGTTTGCATGTGTAACCGGAAGAATTACTAACTCTCAAAGACTCGAAAAAAAATCGGTTTTATTTGTATACTAACTAGAAATCTAGCTTTAGTTATTTGTATACTAATTAGAATTTTTTAAAAAAGTTTAGAATTTTTCGAGTAGCCTTTACACATTTGTTCTGTCTGTGAGAGTTTGTAAACCTGAATAATTAAATGTACGTTAAATATTTCGGTTCGGTTTTGTAAATGAGAGTTAGTAAACCGGAAGAAGTATTAACTATTAAGTTAACTGTTTCGGTTCGGTTCTGTAAATGCCTTTTTAGTTTTTACACATTTCTTTCTTGTCTCTCTCAATCTCTTCCTCTTCTCGCCGCAAAAACAGAAAAACCATCACTAGGTAATCTCACTATCTCTCTTTAACTGTGTTTTTTCTTTCTTGTTGCTGCAATGTGAGATCTTAGATCTCCGTTAGGTTATCGGCTACCTTTGTTTGTGTAAAATTGGCTTAATTGAAGTCGGGTTCGTCCCAATCATTTAGATTACTAGTTGATATGAACAGCTGCTAATATGAACCAGTAAGAATCAGTAGAACGGAATTGATTTGCTTTTCACGAGATTACACAAAAAGATTATTGCCGTTAAAGTATAGATAGAAGAAGCCTTTTGTCTTTTAGAGTCCAAAAATTCTAGATTTTCTAGTTGGTTTATAGGGGAAATTCTGAAATTATATATAGCATTGCGTTTCGAGTAGTTTGAAAAGAAGGAGATGGCTATGAAAATATTGCTATATAAATAAGATATTATCTTTGATTGGTTAATCTGAATGTTTATATACATCTGCTGTAGCATAGGTTTCTTTCTATTTTTCAAAAGATGGCGCTTAGAGGAGTATGGCAGCTAAAGAAACTGGTAGTGAGCTACTGTAATTGGGGAGGTAGCAGTAGAGGCATAAGGTACCAACTCTGACCTTATTATATTCATTCTGTTCTGACTTTAGATTCTCAACTATTTAATTGGTGGATTATTGTTATGCAGAGCCTTTATGGAATCAGAACTGCCCGCACTGATAGAGAAAAACCCGCAGCTTGAAGTGGTTACAGAGCTCTCAAGGGGACAACATCCGTATTTGAAAGGCGAATACAGTATGAGTCTTTCTCTTTTTTTACCCTCTTTATCATTTACAGACAATAATGGCTCTTGAGGATTAGGTATTTTCTTACATTTGGATTTATAGGGAACAGAAATGAAAGGGTGGTGTGTGTGAAGAACATGGATACTGAAGAAGTGCTTCTGTGTGCAACAAGGCTGAGGAACTCGCTGGGAAGGAAAGTGGTGAAACTGAGGACTAGACATGTGACCAAATACCCTAGTGTTCAAGGCACCTGGACCACCGCAGTCAAGTTCTGAGACTTTCTTTCTAAATTGTTTGTGGTCGGGGATTCGAATCAGAAGATGATGCCAGAATCAGGATTCATCATTTAATGAAATATTTGCAAGCCCAAGGGTTGTTTGTACTGTGATTTGGACAAATATTCAGGCTTCAAATGTTCTGCAGTTTTATGCCTCTTGTCCATATGATAATGATTATGGTCGAACTCATTTAGCTGATCTGTTCGATTCCATATTTTGGAATCATCTAGTATTATTTACCTATATAGAGACTTATGAGGAACCCCGCAAACTTTTAATTTATTTGTAAGCTGTTAATAGCTGTCCTAACAGTAGTTATGACTGTACACTTTAATGTGTAAAAAGACAGACAAAATTGATGGTAGAAGAACTGAAAGGACTGAGAATTTTGATTTTGGTAACTTAAGGTTTAGCTTATGTTTCTCTGTTATTGGAGGTAACAAAGCAGAGTTTTTGTCTATCTAGCCACTGCTGCTTGAGGACAAGTAAGACGACTGCTTGAGGACGACCGGACGAGTGTGACTTGAGATGCGATTATGCCACATCAGTTCACTTCTTCTTTTTTTGTACTATATGTAAATTTTCAAAAAGTAATAAACAAAATGTAATTATCGGTTTTGGCTTATCTGATTGATTTTTATTGGTTTCCTTCTTTGAAAGTCTTACTCAACCTGGAACCGAATAAAAGAGCCAGTCACGGCGTTCGACCGGCTATCTTATAACTTGAGTTGAGACTTTTGGAGTCGTTGACTTCACCAAACTTGTTAAAAACTGCTACGTGACATTACATTATTCGTCGTCGTTACAAGCACTAACAATGGAAAAAAAATAAAATTAAAATAACAAAATATTGAAAATCATGAAACCACCGTGACCGGTGACCATTTCATTCTCTCCCCCCTCTCTCTCTCTTCTCAACTTTCACTGTTCCTTCAACAACAAGAAGAATCTAACGACGGAGCCACGGTGGAGTTTACTCCGCCTATCTCCTCCATCGCCTCCGGCGTTCTTCAATCAAATCCACCAATTTCATGGATCTCCCCTCTCCCCTCCTCCTCCTCCTCCTCTTCACCCTCTCTCTATTCTCCGATCTGATCGCTGCTGATCTCAATTTAGCTTCCGAATCAGGTATGATTTTCCCGCTAAGCTACTCTCCCCTACCGTCACGAGTCGAGGATTTCCGCCGCCGTCGTCTCCATCAATCTCCCCTCCCTAACGCTCACATGAAGCTCTACGATGACCTCCTCGCCAACGGGTTTGACTTTCAGTTTCTTTGATCTTTTTAAATCAAGTATCAGTTAAAGTTTCTATGATGCTGAAGAAATTGTTCTAAATCTTTATGCAGTTACTATACGACACGGTTATTGATAGGAACACCACCACAAGAGTTCGCTTTGATTGTAGATACTGGAAGTACTGTTACTTACGTTCCTTGCTCCACTTGCAAACACTGTGGGAAGCATCAGGTCAGTTAAGTTACTTACATAGAAGATGATCACTAACAAGTAAATTATGATCTGTTTTATATTTTAAGTGTCACTTTTTACTTTATGCACGCGGATTAAGAAAACAAGTTAATTTTGCATATTTTCTATCTAACAACACAATTAACTATACACGCGTAAACATATTTCAACCAATAGAAAATAAATAGCAGTTTGTACTCAAAGTTTTTGTAACAAAAAAATTTACGACACTTAATATGAAACGGAGGAAGTGAGGAACTATGAGAGTATTGACTTGTCTTTATTGGTTTTTTTCAGGATCCGAAGTTCCAACCTGAGTTATCAAGCACCTACGAAGCTGTGAAATGCAATCCTGATTGTAATTGTGATGATGATGGGAAACTATGCATCTATGAGAGACGTTACGCTGAGATGAGTTCGAGCAGTGGGGTTTTAAGTGAGGATTTGATATCTTTCGGCAACGAGAGTCAGCTTTCTCCTCAACGTGCTGTTTTTGGATGTGAGAATTCAGAGACAGGGGATCTTTTCAGCCAACGTGCTGATGGTATTATGGGGTTGGGTCGTGGTAAGCTCAGTATTGTTGATCAGCTTGTTGACAAGGGTGTTATCGAGGACTCTTTTTCGTTGTGTTATGGTGGAATGGAAGTTGGTGGTGGTGCTATGGTGCTTGGTAAGATAACTCCTCCGGCAGGAATGGTGTTTGCTCATTCTGATCCGTTCCGCAGGTAGAGTAACTTCAGTTAAATTGGAGTTTGTTTGTGTATCTGTAACTTTAGAGAGCTTCTCACACATCACTGTAGTTTTCGGGTGTTTGCAGTCCATACTATAACATTGACCTGAAACAAATGCATGTTGCTGGCAAGTCTCTGAAGCTAAACCCTAAGGTATTTAACGAAAAGCATGGAACCGTCTTGGATAGTGGAACTACGTATGCTTATTTTCCCAAGGAAGCCTTTAATGCCATAAAGGATGCGGTAAGACTATCTAATTTCGTATCTCATTTCTCGTCAAGAGTCTTCATTCCTCTTCTAAGTATTTCACTCCGTGAGAACTTAGAAAATGATATTCTTTCTAATGCGTTGGTAGCTATGTATATGGTGCTCTCATGACCATCAAGGGATGACAGTTTTGGCAAATAAATGCACTATTATAAGTTTAGAATACAAACTGTAGGAGATAAATGTTGATGACCCATATTTGCAGGTCATTAAGGAAATCCCATCTCTCAAACGGATCCATGGTCCAGACCCAAACTATGAAGATATTTGTTTCTCTGGCGCTGGAAGGTTTGCTTAGAGCTTCAAATATTACTAAACTTCTAATTTGTTTAACTTCTAATTTGTTAAACTTCTAGTTTGTTTAACGTCTTCAATATATCTGATGCCGTCTCAGGGATGTGTCTGAGATGCACAAATTTTTCCCCGAGATCGCTATGGAGTTTGGCAATCATCAGAAGCTGATCCTTTCTCCCGAGAACTACTTATTCAGGGTACAGTAAAGTGGCTTCATCTTTTTTCTTTAAGCTGCTTATTTGATAATCTGAGCAAGCATTAGCAGTTTCTTTCTTAGAAAGCTATTACAACAACTTCTATTTGTGTTTTCTTACAGCACACTAAAGTTAGAGGCGCTTACTGCCTTGGAATATTTCCTGATAGAGACTCAACAACACTCCTTGGAGGTAGTATATCTGGGACTCATTTTACGTATGTTGCATGCATTTCCCATTTTATATGAAGCCATGTATCATGTATGATTTAGTTTCAAGATAGATCATTTGTTCTTCAGTCTTTGGTTTCAAATCAACTTCAGCTTCTCTTCTTTTCTGGCTTCCGTGAGATGAGTAGAATGTTTATACTTTTTACATTTTTTTGATCAGGTATTGTTGTTCGGAATACGCTTGTCACTTATGACCGTGAAAATGACAAGCTCGGGTTTTTGAAAACTAACTGTTCTGATCTATGGAGGAGGCTTGCGTCACCACCAGATTCTCCAGCACCTACTTCACCAGTTACCCAAAATACAAGTTCTCAGATCTCTCCAAGCCCCGCTTCAAGCGAGTCTCCTACAGTGGATCTTCCAGGTAGTTTGTTTGGATTTTCAGGGATTTATCTTAAACCACTCTTGTTATCATCTCTCTTGTTCCTTTGACTTTTCTTATTGTTTAAAACTCAAAAGAGAAGAAGTCTATTTCTAGAATTGTAAAATTACTCTTTACAATCAGCAACTCATTTGTTATAAATTGGTTGTTATTTATCAACGTCATCATTAGCACTGTCATTGGTTACATGAGTCTTTTATGTTTGGATATTTGACCTATTATTTGCTATTTCTTACGAATGTGAAGGTGTTTTTCGGATTGGAGTTATCACCTTCGAAGTGTCAATTAGTGTGAATAATGCTTCAATGAAGCCCAACTTTTCAGAGATCGCAGATTTCATTGCCCATGAGTTAGAGATTCAAAGTTCACAGGCAAGCTAAAACATGCATTTTGCCACTAGTTATGTTAAAAGTGCCATTGTTGTGATCAGATCATCTCAATTGGCTCTTCTTATTGCCAGGTTCGTTTGCTGAGTATCTCGACCAGCGGGAAAGAGTATCGCCTGAAATGGGGAGTCTATCCCCCACAGTCTTCAGAGTACATTTCCAATAATACAGCACTGGTACTTGTCCTTTTCCTTACAAATACAATGGCTTGTGATCACTATTGGTTTAGGTATCTTCATTAGCAGATGAAAAAAGATTTGAGTTCGACTTGTTTACGTGATTGCAGAACATAATGTCGCTTCTGAAGGAAAACAAATTACGCCTACCCGGTCAATTTGGAAGCTACAAATTGCTAGAATGGAAGGCTGAGCAGAAGCGGAAACAGTATGTTTCACCTACATGGTTGCAGAATCATTGCTAGATTTGATATATTTACGGGTCTGATGTGGTTGCAGGAGCTGGTTGGAGAAGCATTTACTTGGCGTGGTGGGGGGAGTGATGATCTCGTTACTGGTTACTGCGGTGATGGTCAAACTTGCATTGGTGTGGAGAAGGAGACAACAAGAAGAAGCTACTTATGAGCCTGTAAATGCTGCTGTTAAAGAACAAGAACTTCAGCCTCTTGCGTCCTCTGAAACATCTAATGCTTGAGCCTCCGCATCACTTAACAGAGTCTCTCTCTGTCCATATATATACCTATATTTGAATTAATAGATAGAAAATTAAACCCCAGGACTCAGGAAAACAAAGATTCATCAAATTAAAAGATACTTTGATTTCAAGTAAATTGTTGTAGTTACGTTACTTTCGATGTGCAATGAAAGAAAGAAACAAAAAGAAGAGAGAAATTTGTTCCATTTCTTTCTCTTCTTACTTTGATTGAGAAGAGGTGTTCGGTATTTGAAAGGATTAGGACGGGATGGTTATGTTAGACAAAGGCTATTCAAATTCATATGATAAACTCTGTTGAGAGTTCATTGTTTCTATGACAGAACGAGAGAGAAGAGTTGAGTTGAGATAAGATGAGAAAATTAAGCAGAAAGAAAGCTTGAAGGTACCTCTTATATTTTGTGATCGTTCTATGCCTTTAAGTTCTTTACAAGCAAAAGACAGAGCCCTCTTCATTTATTTTTTATCCAGATGCAGCATCTGGATGCTAATATATATTTCGATGTTGTTGGTTTAGACACTATTTTATCATCAAGATACAAAATCTATACTCAGTTGGTTTCTTTATATAAGTAGTTTTAGTTGAATGCACAAATACTAAAAAAATTGTTATTATTTTTAAAGTAACATTTAAATATTAAATTTAATATAATTAAACCAATCATTAATAAGTTAGTAGTATTTGATTGGATATATCATCTTCAATATATAAAAAGTTATCTAGATATTTGAAAATTACTTATATTTTAAAATAAAAATATTTTTCTAAAACTACTTATAAAAAAACGGATGAAGTAATATTTAGAATATCAAGATATTTGAATTGTAAACAAATTATGTAGAGTTTAGAGTTATATTTGCATCTGATTATCCGAAAGATTTAGATACCCTTGATATATAAATATAATAATTAGTTAAAGTAGTTATTATAATCATTATGTAATACACTTTCCTGTAAAAACCATAAATTGCATTTTTCTGTCTTTTTTTTTTTTTTGGACAACACTATAACTAAAAAACTATAAATTATGCACGTCTAATTTGGAGAACCAAACCGACGACATAGAATCGACATAAAACATAGCAGAAGAGTACCTCATAGCACATCGTGTAAGTATGTCTGCCACTATATTTTGTGCTTTTGGGGATATGTCGGATCTTGAAGGTAGGAAAAAAACACTTACTTTGCTGGAACTCCTCCAAATGTGTAGCAAAAACTGGTCATTCTGCAGGTGAGGACACCATCTTTTCCAATCGAGAATAGTTTGTTGTAAAAACTACGTCTGAGAAATTAAAGGTCTTCATGCACTCCATAGCCCATATCAAAGCTTCACATTCAGCATGTAAAGCAGATAAGCTTCTTCAGAGATCCATTACCCCCATCATCTTCTCTTCGGACCTCATCGATGTACAGAACCATCCTTGTCTTGTGAATCTATCTTTTTTTTCCAGGCACCATCCACAAAGCAAACCCTGGAACTCCCTAAAGTTTACCAATCTAAGCTGGGCGTAACCGGCTGATACGTTGCAATAGCCGGGACTTGGGCATCAGTCCACACTGCTGCTTCCACCTCCGCGATCCAAAGAAGTTTTTACGGATTATGACTTTTATTGGTATAAAAGCGTTTCTATTTTTCCAAATATACCACAAAATCCAAGGAAAGGAAGTAAAATCCTGGTCCTTTAGAAGTCTCCATAAAAGATAATCCATGTTGGTAAATACCGATGTAGTTGGAAAAATGCCAATGGAAGAGGGTATTTTTGACAAAGCCCAAGTTTGCAGCGCCGGTGGACATTCAAAAAGAACATGATTAATGGATTCTTCCTCAGCGTCACAAACAGTGCAAGCTTTGTCACAATCAATACCACGAGTCCTCAAGGTATTTGCCACTAGAAGAGTGCCTTCTATACCTTGCCAGGTGAATTGTCTCAACTTTGGTGGACACTCTAGTTTCCAAGTATGGTCTAATAAGGGGTTTATATATGGTCCAAGACTAACCGAGTGTTGTTCCTTATCTGGATATAATGATTCTATTTTATAACCGGATTTAACCGTATATTTACCCGACTATGTGAACGTCCACCCATAGGTATCTGGTCTTTGAGACCGGCTGATTGACAAACCTTTGATGATTTTCACATTGTCTGGATGTATGTATGCATTAAGCAGTTCATCGTTCCATGAAGAAGTAACCGGGCTGATGAGATGTTCCACCATTAAGGAAGGATTTAACAATTGGGGTTGATTTTTTTGGTTTTGTTGACCTCGGGCGAGGAGTCGGAATCCACGGATCATTCCATACTGATATGGACTTTTCGTTTCTCACACGGATCATTGCATTAATCTGTCAAAACTATAGTATTGTGTTTCTCCATCAGAATCATAAAATCGTATTATTTGTCAAATCTAAGCGTGTGATTGGTAGTGGCTGTAGGTGCTCTCTAAATCAACATATATTTCTAAAGCATAGTTTTCACAATAATTAAGCTTTAATGATTTTGTAAAAACTACAACTCTTGAAATAATCTACAGCTATACAAGTGCTTTCTAGAGCCAAATATTCAAAACATTTTTTTTTGAGTTTTCCATATAATCTACAACAATAAAATCTAAAGTTACAACAAAAAGACTACAGCTTTTTTTTCTATAGCTAAAATTTTAAAGCTACATCCATTACCAATAAGGCCCTGAATTTTCTTGTCAAAATCATAAAATTATATTTTCTTCTAAAATTGTGGAATCGCATTTTCACGTCAAAACAATTAGATGCTTCCGCTAAAACCTATTTCCACCAAAACTATAAAATCGTATCTTTTCGCCAAATAGTGTTTTTCTCCCTAGACTTATAAAATTTCATTTTCCCGTCAAAACCCCGTAACATCGACTACATTATTATTAAACAAAATGGACTAGGTAAAAAAGGGTTTTATGGGAAATATCGTTTGTCGCATGACAGTTACATGAAATCGTTAAAAAATCAATATCCTAGTCAATTTCTATATTTGCTAATTTAATACCACATCATAGATATCATCTATCTTATTAAAACAAAAACATTAGGTTAAACCTAACATTTATTTTGTAAGTTTTTAAATTAAATACATCTTTCTACTTTATAGTTAAACATACATTAAATTACTAATATTCCTTTTTTATACTATTATCCTTGCTTCCAAACAATATATTTATTTCTTTATATTACTATCTATGTTTCCAAAAAATATACTCATTTCTTTATACTACTATCTATGTTTCCAAACAACACTATCATTAATTTTATGTCCAAAGAAAATATTAGATCTCACGTTTTTTTAAAGATTTATCACAATTTTCTTTCAAATTATGTAGATAAATTAAAAAAATTCAAATAATATATAAAACAATGAAAAAACTTATTTTTACAGGTTTAAATATTACATATCAGTTATCCATCGGTTTAATCGGTTAGTCTTGGGTTTTAGTGATTATTTGAATATGGATATTTTAAAAAATCATAATTGAATTATCGGATCACCGGTTTAACCACGGTCTGGGTAGAATTTAAAAATACTGATTTAAATGAAAAAAATATTATAAACACATAAATTCTTTCAAATTACCGAAATTTTTGTTATGAAATTTGCATCATAAAATATACGTGCTTGCAAAGTTAAGACCAATGTTAAGTTCGAATTTGATCTAACCTACAAAATAAAGGTTAAGGCCAAAAATTCTAGAAATTTGTATATTTTTTATAAACTTTGGATAATTATTAACATCAGAATTAAACTCTCAACTTAATTTTTTAGTGCAAACGGTTAACTTTGAATTTGAATATGCACTTCGAACAAACGTACTGAATTAGTGTTTTCACTGCACGATTACATCTACATAATACACTACTTAACACTATTGTTCTTAAACATAAAATCGAATTGGACAAACCCGAAACTATATAAAACTAAATTATATAAAATACATCTGAAATATATAATCTGTGCATCCGTGCGGATCATGATTTAGTAGTGTATTAAACAACAATCACGGTTACAAAAGAAGAAGGTACCAATTAATTATGAAGGAATAGGAAGAAGAATCATTGTCCTTGATTCAGCCACTTTTTTTTGTCCTTGCTTCATTTTTTTTTTATGAAAGACTTAATTGTCCTTGATTCATCCCCCCTTATTCTCGTATATGTTGAGTTCTTTATTACCAATTTCAATGCATAGAAGATGGCACACATTTGTTGACAAAATAACACTACGTATAAAGTAAATATAAGAACTCACATTTCACTTCGTTCAATGCTTCGACCATTTACGTTTGTTGTAAGAAGAAGAGAAGAAAAGTAGAAAAGAAAAAAGGAAACAATAAAAATTGTCGATGAATATAGCATTGCTGAAACTACAGAACCTCAAACAAGCCTAGCAACTCTTCAAGAAACGTGGTGCAAGAGCAAGGCATTAATGGCTGTTGGGATCGAAGCTCTATAGCTAAGCAAAAGCTGGTCATCTCTTGAGACTTTTCCCACATGAAGGAAACAGACTCTATGGTGTGATATTGGTGTGTGCTAACCTTTTCAAAACCTTCACACCTACAACTTACAATTTTTGTCTAGTATAAGATCTAGTTTGTGGTGTTAAAAAAAGGAAGATCTAGTATGTTGAATGGTGCAACCTAGTCTCTCAGATCTTATGTATCTTTAAACATGTATATGTGTATTATTGAAGTACATGTAATATTTTCTTATATATAAACGTACATGTAACATTTTCTACAGTAACTCTTGTTATTCGTATATGCACCAGGCATGCCGTATTATCTGTTTAGATATCTTTCACAAGAGTGCCAGTAAAAACGACTGTACAACAAAACCATTAATCCACTTTTTGAAATGTTTAAAAGGAAAGGACAATTGGCGTTTCACTTTCTCATGCGGCCGCTAGATGTCATCACGTCACTAGGCCACTTTAGTTTCACTTTTCAAATAAACAAAAAAAAAACTCCCACTTTGATCTGCATCCACCTGGATCACATACAAACCCTATTTGCTCTTTTTGTATTTAACCTTCTTTAATCAGCAAAAAAAGCCAAAACTCCAACAAAATCTCAGATCTCTCATGGACCACTTCTCTTGCAAGGGTACAAACAAGATGGCCAGGAGGACCCACGTTGCTGTCGGTTTCAGACCGTGTTGTTTCTTCTGTGTCATGGAAGAAAAAGACCCTGGTGTGAGAAAAGAATGGTTAGAGTTATATATGAGAGATATGCACATGACAAGAGACGACACAGAGCTCGCTCTCACACTCAGTTTCATCTGGAGATTCGCCATGGCCGACCCCGAGAACCCCGAGTTACCATCTCTGGGTGTCTTTGAGTGCATGGCGAAGTTGTTGAAGAAAAGTCTTGAAGATGAAAAATGGGTAATGACTGGTCAAAATGTGTATGTTCCATACTATGCAGCACATATTATTGGATCTTACACTATGAAGAAGCCTGATTTTGCTGTGAAGGCTGTAGAGTCTGGTGTCATAGCTCCATTAGTAGAGCTTATGAGAGGGAAAATGAGTTGGGTTGAGCAAAGAGTGGCGGTTAAGGCGTTAGGTCACTTGGCGAGCTATGAAAAGACGTTCACCGCAGTGGCTGCTCACGAGGATGAAGTTGTGAGATTAGCAATGGACATTGCTACGACATGTGTGCATGTTGTGTACGAACAGTTTGTGAGTGTGAAAGAAAGAGTGAGGTATCATAGTGACTTGCTTACTAGAGGACTTGGAGGGTTAGAGATGGAAGACCGAAAAGCTGAGGAATGGGCAAGCCAACTCCAATGCTGGTCAGTCCATTTACTCAGTTGCTTTGCTTACAAGCAAATGTCTATTTCTCTTATATGCAAAAAAAACTTTCTCAAGGAACTTAGCCAAATGTGGGGTGGATTGGTTAACCACACATCTCCTGCGGGCATTGGACTAGTCCGGATTCTTTGTTATAGCAAACAAGGGAGAGGACATGTTTCAAATTCCAGAGAAATGATATTGAGTCTATGCAATCTCTCCCGGTCTTCTGATGATTGGCAATACATGGGTATAGATTCCCTATTGCTTCTGCTTAAAGACCAAGAAACAAGGTACAAAGTCTTGGAGACATCATTGTTATATCTAGTAGACCTAGTTGAGCTTAAAGCTCTTAATAATAGACCAAACCTAGGTGATAGGATAACTAGGGTTCTTCTAATGGATAACAATAAAAAGAAAGGTTTTACTTATACTTACAAGGCCCAAAAGGCTTTGAAAGAACTATGGAGGATTAAAGTAGAGAGGAGAAAGAGGGAGAGAAAGTTGATAAAGGGAGATGGTCAAGAAAAGGTGGCAGAGGCTAATGTTGTTGTGAATTTGATTAAGCAGCAAGCAAATCAATTGCTTTGTGTAGGAGACATAGAGGGAGCTATTAAATGCTACAACGAAGCAATAGGCTTATGCCCTTTGAAAATTAGGAGAAAGAGAATGGGTTTATATAGCGATAGAGGAGAGTGTTACTTGCTTATGGGAGACGCAGACGCAGCCATAAGTGATTGCACAAGAGCTCTTTGTTTGTCTGAACCTGTGAACTCGCATGGTAAGAGTCTCTGGACAAGGTCCAAAGCTTATGACATCAAAGGGCTTTCAAGAGAAAGCTTGATGGACTGTATCATGTTTGTCAATGTCCGCTCCTTTCGTGGGAAAATCCCGTACTATGCTGCTCAAATGATCAGCAAACAGATGGAGGCAACATGGCTGTTTGAAGAGGCTAGAGCAACGAGGCTTCGAAGGATGATGCTCAAGGACAAAAATCATGGTACGTATTTTCAGTTTACTTTGGGTTTAATTTGTATTTTCATTTTCTAATGCGTATAGTAGGAATATAAGTTTTCTGATCTCACCTACATAGAAAAACTAAAATAAGATGAGATAAATTATTTTTATTTATCTAGGTTTATCCACGATAACAGAAGAACCAGGGAAGAAGGAAAGAACGGTGATACCACGGAAGAAACCTGATCCTTTGCACTGATGAATCTATGCTACATGTGCATCTAGCTACTCTTATCTCATAAGCAAGTTTTTTCTTTCATTTTGGTTCTGAACTAGAAAGATTAGTACTGTTGTGATGGATAAGTATGAGAAAGTTTAAGAGTTTATCACCATAGAGTAGTAATCTTTTTTTTTATTAAACATCATGAAATATAATAAACTGAATGTTGACAAAACAAAGGCATTAGCACAACTCGTTAAACTGAATGTTGACAAAACAAAGGCATTAGCACAAGTCGTTAAACTACACGTTCTTGTATTATCACTTATCAGCATAGTCTTTGGAGTAAATTTTGATTATTATTTCCAACTATTATTTGTGTGAAAATTTTCCACAGTGAGTTTCTTCTAGTCTATTATTATAATATGAAAATATCTTTTTTTATATATATGAAAAGAAGAAAAAGTTTGTTTTCGTATATATATATAATAAGATCCAACCTTCAATATAATGTATGGTGAAATCCTATACACCACCTGAAATTCGTATTTTTAATATATTCATGGTTCGTATAAGTACAACATTGTTTCCTTTTGTGGGTTAAAATACTACGTTGTATTTGCTGTCATTGGATTAAGTGGAAATGAGTATTTTATGTGAAGAAGTTAAATGGGAAAGGTGTAACCACATATGGTGGGGAGGACCACAAAACCACATCGACGTCCGCGTGATCATTCTATTACTTGAATGTATGGTTTAGTGTAGACAATTTCACGAGTTTTCGTATACTATTTGGACTGAACACTATATGTTTATAATTTATTAGCGGAAGTATCAAAAAGAATAATGAGTCATGGTACTATGATACACTAAAAGTTTGTGAGTATATCTCTGTGAACAGTATTATAACTTCAAACCAAAAGCATTTTCCCCGCCCGGGTAGATGAGTCGTTCAGTGGGTTACGAACCAAGGATCGCATTCTACCCTCTACGACAATTGTTGTGGTTTTATCTTGGTCATTGTTGACGTCTTAGATGACCAGAATGTTTTTAATTACATGCCTCAGGGGTTATGAACTTTTTGTACATGATTTACTCATGTTATTTAAAAAGAAAAAGAAAACTTTGCTCCAAGTACTAACAAGAATGACCGAAATAAAATGGGCTTGAAATTAAACTATGCAATAATGTGCCTTATTGAGATGGGACAGTTTTGCATAGCATAGTATTTTGTGGAATTGTGACAAAAAAAAAAAAAAGTATTTTGTGGAAATGTCAACAAGAACTAACCAGGTCTACGAGCTATTAGACACAAAATATCTCATGTTAGTAGTTAGAATAGATTCTTAATAGTATATAAAATAGCTGGACTAATCTACTTATCACCAATTAGTTGTAAATTAGAAATCTATCTAACTTAATATAGTATCAAAGCTCAAGTTATGCCCAAAGTTGACTTATTAATTATTGTCCAAACATTTTCAGATTAACGTTCAAAAAGCCATCATTTTGAAGGAGTGTATTAGACACATAGTATCTCACATTGGTAGTTGGAAGAGATCTTTGCTAATATATAAGATAGTTCGGGTAAGGATCAAGGACCAACTTTGGTGTGGATCGGGTTGGATGCATGTATCGAATTCTGATACCATATTAAGTTAGATGGATTTCCAACCTAAAACCAATTGGTTACAAGTGGATCTTTCCATCTATCTTATATACTACTAAGGATTTTTTTCAACTATCGATGTGGGACACTTTGTGTCTAACATAAACTCTTAATTATAACAAACTTCAATTCATTCTTGATTCTTCTTTAAAGCTTTCCAACAATATCACTTCCAATAAGTCACATTTCTTATCTTTTATAGTATTTCATTTAGAAACATACTCCTTCAATCCAACTGAACACCTTGAAATGAGAATATACATTATGTCAAGAGCAATCAAATAGACTCAAGTTTAATTACCATCAAAAATGTTTTTTTATTAAATGAACTCTTTTAATTTGTGAAATTGTGCAATAATTTTTGCTTTGTTATTCACTACAATCCTAAGAGCATTTCCAATGTAATACTCCATTTTTTTCTCCAAAATGGAGTAAAACTGAATATAGAGTAGAAATGCTCCATCGCTATTTCATATCTCACTCCATAATGGAGTAATGAACAAACAAAAAATAGATTACTCCATTTATGGAGTAAACTCTGTTATGAACTTATGAAGTAAAAATGAAGTTGGGTTGGAGTGTTTTCTACACCATATTCTCTTTTACTCCATTTTGGAGTAAAAATTGGAGTAGGGTTGAAGATGCCCTAAGAACATCTCCAACCCCACTCCATAATTTACTGTAAAATGGAGTGGGAAATAGAGTGATGAACAAACAAAAAATCTATTACCCATTTATGGAGTAATCACTTTTATTTATTTATTCATCACTTCATTTTGCAGTAAATTATAGATATGGAGTAATCACTTTTTTTTGTTTATTTATCACTTCATTTTCTAATCCATTTTGCAGTTAGATATACTCTAAGTCGAATCAAAACATAAACAAAATCAAGGTATTTAAAACGACCATAAAGCCACATGATCTTCGCTGGAGATTAGGGTCGATCCTAAACCAAGCCTATTGAAATATTCATCTCATATTTCCGAAAATTTTGAAAAAAAATTATAGGTATATAAATCATAAAATAAAAAAATTTATCTAAATTTTTTTAAAAATCGTCTAAGATCCTCGAAAATCTCAAGACTGGTCTTGTTTTAGACCCTCGAAAATGTCAAGACTGGTCCTGCTGGAGATCACGTTGCTAAGAGAAGAGAAAGGACCACGTTGCTGTTAAGAAGAGAAGAGAAAGGACCGATAATTGTAGCCCAAACATCCAATTTTGTGATTAATTCACAGACAAGTCTAGTAAACACAACCCCTATTTTTTTCTTAGTGGATTTTAGGATCCAACAATCAGAAGCTAAGTATATTAATTCTGTGACAGTGAAGATTTTCTATTGAATTAATCGATACAATAGAGTGGATTTAGACATCTGAGGCTCTCTTTCCAGGACAGCTACCACATCCTTCACCGAGATTGTCCTCAACACTTTTGGTTGAACCGACGAACCTTGGTTCTTCCCTAACCTTCGACCACCTGCAAACATAAATCCAAGGCTTATTATACAGATTAACAACCTATAGCTTTGTTTCCGAGGGGAAAAGTAATGTGTTTTTGTTAAAGAAAAGCTCTTAAATAAAACCGGTACTATGTAATGGACTCACCAGCTCCAGAAAACCGACGTCCACCATCTTGTCTCTCCTTGGAGTTTCTTCCACCACCAGAATTAGTTTTCTGATTACCATCTTTACCAGATTCAGAGGCAGATTTCTGACGAGCTTCTGCCATTAATTGCCATTTCAAAAGCGTATCATCTCCTCCCACTGCAGCACGAGCAGCAACGTTTGCTGCTGTCGTTCTCATTTTGTCGTCATCCTCTTTATTTCCCTTTCACATATATCAAAACCATTTATAAAGAAGATTGCAAAAGGTTGTTATATATAATATGGCTCCACAAATTGTATTTATTAATTTCTCCATACCTTCAAACCCTTTGAACGGTTATCTTCTTTCTCCTTCTCACTATCTCGACCATCACCTTCTTCACTCTGCATCAATGACAAGAAAAGAGGAACAAACTTTGCAATGTCCGTATGCAATATAGTAAAATCAAGAACATAGATAATGATCTCCAAACAAAAACCTCGCTTGGTTTCTTAAGTTTTTCTGCTTCAGCCTGTTTCTTCTCCCATTCCTCTTTCATCTTCTGGTTCATTTCGTTGATTTGTAGACGAATATCTGACGTGATAAAGGTCCGGTGTCTAGATTTCTCAGTATCAACCCGCTGTAGAAACACTGTTAGCTTCAGAAAATATTAGATCCAACAATGTTAAAGCAGGATATAGAGGAAAGTTAGACTCACCTGCTTTGACAAACGAATGATATGAGATAGTAGTCCTCGCATCCTTTCCTCCACACACTGAGAGCGCAAATCCATCAGAAAAGAGTACAAAAAACTACAAGTACTGTATACAAACAATATACACACGAAGTTGTACCAGAGACAAGCACCGTTCAACATCATTGCTTATCTGCTTTAGCCCAACTTTCGCCACTGCCACATATATGAAAATCAAGTATAAGTTTCTTCTCCAAGTGATTTATCAACCTAGAATGTAAGAGAAGCATGAAGAAATAAAAAAGAAGTAACCCAACTAATTTCTGCCAGCTTTTTCTGTAGTGGACTTTTCTGCAAAATTAATCTTTCTTCCTCTTCCAGCACAACTCTACGAGATGCTTCGGAAACACGACCATCCTCCTTGCCCCCAGAAAATAATTGTTCTTCCTCTTCCTAAAATCAATGCAGACAGCAGAAACTTGATTTATTCAGTACTATACAACAAGATTTGAAGTGAAAACTGAAGTTGTCAGGAAACGCAAAGCTCACCCTGAGATTGACACCACTGACTGCAGTGACATCATTGAGCTGTTCAATACTTTGATCCATAGAATTCGGTACCACTTTTTGCTTCTTGCTGCAAGTTGATCCATAGCAAAACAACTATGGTTAATAAACTTATAATTTTACATTTGGGAAACAAAAAGAGAAAAGTTCTTTAAGCTGTAAAATCCACATAAAGAAAACTCTCAACTGTAATTTAAAATGGCTAAAGAAAAGGAGTGATCAAAAAAAGCTGTAAATAATCCCTCTTTCAAAACCTAAGTGAACGATCAGGGCAGCAGCTCAATTACCTTGGTGGTGCTGGTGAAGAACCTAATGTCTCAAGTGGTTTCTTCTGACCGGCAATTGGCTTTTTGGGTGGCATCTTAGCATTAAATCCTGTTTGAGACGTACTCAATGGGCCACGAGAATTCATCTGATGGACACAAAAAAATTCAAGATTGTTGAAAATTACCAAGGAAACTATGCAAGGCTTTTAAAGAACCAAGGTTGTCCCAAAAGCTCAAACAGAAGAGCCAAATAGAGAGCCTCTGAAACAAAATTTTTATTATCAGAAATCTATATATAAAATAAGCTCTCTTACTGCTGTGTTGGCGTCCATGTTGCTAGTTGCGGATAAAACCATTCTAGAGGACTCCTTTAAATCCTCTTTCGGAGTCCCTGAGGCTGCCTTATTCTGTTCAAAACTTTGTTCAACTGATTCCTGCTTCACAAGGGGCTGTGATGATCCTTGACTAGGTGCAGAATTTAGAGGCAACGATGAGCTGTTCCGGAAGTGTGAAGTAGGGCCGCCTTGAACCCTATTAGGATCATTTACAGAAGCTGGTCTCTCAAACTTGGGCATATTCATCATGTTTGTGGTAGACAGGGGAGGTGCTCCAGGACCAGTTGATCCCACGGTCTGGTTATGTGCCACATGTCGCGTATGGGAATCATGAAGGTGGGGTCTCAACGTGGAACCAGAAACATTGGGGCTTGGACCGGGGAATGAGTGAAAACTACCAGAGCCGGTATACATAGGAAAAGAACTTGGTGGGCGCTGCATCTGGTTATGCTGAGGATGATTTGTAAGTCCCTGCACAGGAACTGAACTGCCTGTTGACGAAGGAAGTTGGTTAAGGTGGACGACTCCACGAGGATTAGACTGAGATTTTTGATTATTGATTTCTGCGATTGAATCAAGTAAACGTTTGGACTTTTGCGTGGAGATAATAAGACACGTCTACAAAAAGCATAGACGCTTTATGATAATCGTGAAAGTAAAAATGAATCAGTGAATAATTAATACCAGTAGGTGCTTGAATTCCCATTTTTCCCTGGTTATAACCCACCTGAATCAATGAGCAAAGATTACAAATAAATAAGCATTTAACTTGACTTCTTATTGATCATAATAAACTCTTATATAGGTTAAGGAGTATTATCATAAATCTAATGTAAAAAGGAAAAGCATGAAAAGTTAATCCTAATGCAAAAAGGAGAAACACCAAAACTATTAGGAACTCAAGTAAAAATCCCGTATACAGAATGTGGGACAAACGCATCAGTAAAACCATATGATTAATCAACCCAGGCGCAAGCCTGATACCTAAGGAAAAATATATATTGTGAGAAATGAAATCTTTAAATTTCAGTTGTCATCAAAATCGAGGAAAATAAGGTTTGCCAAACTTACTATGTTATCCAACTGTTTTGTGAAGCTTATAGCCTTATACAAAGTGAAGGATTTTGCAAAAGAGGCTAAGAGATGCAAACTTAGACATCCCAACCAAACAGTAAAAGTATACATGATGATTAGATGGTCTAACATAAAACGAAATTAACATGAGATGCATCAGCTAAACAATATCTTGAAGGATAGCGGCCGGAATTTGGCAAAGGGGACTAAAGATATACTTTATTCTTAATAGAAGACATAGTCCAATGGCTGGCTGACTTAAAGATCACCAGTTGTTGCCCATGTCAAACCATTTCTTTGTGCAATCAAGCAAATAAAAACAATAATCTATTCCACATGGATACAGCTAAATTCAAAGGACAAAACTAAAAAAAATTGTAAGTTTTCAAACTGACAGAACCAAGATGTGTTCCGTTCGCAAACTTATAACCTGGTATTAGTACATGACACAAAATAGACAAAGTGATGTTACCTCCTGTAGTTTACTAACTGCCAACCTAAGCATCTGATCGCCTACAATCTCCTTCACAAGTCGTGTGAAACCCTCTTTGGGGATTTCATTTTTCTGCAAACAAGTATCAGGACGAAAAAAATGAAAAAGAAATAGCTGGAACAGAATGTAAAGTGATTCCGCAGATAGACATACTTTAAGTCTAGCATATAGGGTACGGAGCTGCAGTGATCGGTCTTTATCGAGTTGAGCCATTAAGGTAGGAAGCAAAGCAGCAAATGGTACTTGCTTAGGGTTGCGGTTAATTGGGTTAACAGGCTGTTGACTACTCATCTTTTGCAGTTTTGAATACTGAGATTCACTCTCTTGATTTTGCGGTCTTTCAGGTTCATTACCAGTAAGTTTCTTTTCCGAAATCTGTAACCCAATCGTTTGGGGCACCTGTGAAGGATCCTGATTTGCTTGGTGGAGGTCTTGAGGCTGGTTGTGTTGCAAATGAGATTCATCTGTGCGTTCTAAATCATGTTGGTGTTGATTCTCTACACCTGATCCTTGTTGCTCCTTCATCTGTGTGCTCTCAATGCTGTGTTGCGTATGGAGATTTATATTAGCATCTCCGATACCATTATTCCATGTAGAAGACTGTTCGTTGAGAGAATGGCTTTTTCCTACAAAAATAAGTCAAGCAGTTAACTGATGTAGCTCAAATCCTAATTGAATTGTAATATATAAAGGGGAACGAGCCAGAGACAGAGAAAGAAAAAAAACAAAATTTTAAGTAATCACACAACACAACCAACGTTATGATTGCAGTGAAACCAAAAAAAAAACAAACCTACGCACTAGAAACAGCATCACATTAGTCAAACTTTTAAAGACTAAATAAGCTAAAAGACTGGAAATTGTATACAAAAAGCCCTAAAAGAACTAGTCTTTCAAGACGTGAAGCATAGCTTGAATGCAACTTTGAACTTTCCTCACGATTTCAGTAAATTAGCAACATATGCTACCCGATAAATCTTCTCTAGGTATCCATGTCCCAAGCGTAATAATAACCTATCTGACTCGAAACAAGCACAACTTTGCGGAATCCACAAAAATCTGATCTTTCTCTTGATAATAATTAAGAAGTTGACACATAATCTGATCCGTTTTTGGGTTTCAAAATTCATCTCAAAGATAGACTCAATATCTTCAATATCTGTAGAAAAGGATTTAAGGACCGTACCAGGAGGGTTAGAAGTGGACAGTGAAGTGGAAGCTTCAATATCTCGATTAAGAGCGGCCTGAAAGGCGTCCACGTCAGCTCCCGAGTGCATCGATTCATCCTAACAACACCACACAGATTTTACCCCAAATTCAAAATCAGGACGACGACGACGCTCTATACACCGAGCAAAGACATCATCACGACACACGAAAATTCAAAAAAAGATGCAGGGTTTATATAAAGGAACCTAACCTCGTCTTCTTCGAGGAGCTTGAAAATTGAAGGATCCATTGGTGGAATAGTTTAAAGCTCCTACGGAAAAAAGGAAAAGAAAAGAAATAAGAGAGAACTCGGAGAATGTTGAGAAATGATGGTTGGGACATATCCGGAAATGGACCAGACCACATCAGTCTCGCTTCAGTCCAAGACCAGGCGACAAGCACCTTATCCTTATCCATACCAGGCGGCCAAGACTTGTCATTATCCTCCCTTGTATTTATCCATATGTTGTAGTTATCCTAATCATTATAGGATTAGGATAATCATCCCCTTTAT